GTAATAGATTTAAATACAGTTAAACAGCAAAATTTTAGGGTAACATTCGGAAAAAGCACAAATTGCCATTTGTAAAAAAAAAAAAAAAAAAAAAAGAATATTGACACGGACATTATGCAGTGTTTTAATCTATTTTTTGTTTGTTTGTTTGTTTTTATATTTTCCAGTGATTTTTCTAGTTGTTTTTTAAAATTTTATAGAACAGCAGACATCTGCAAAATACTTTTTTAAAATCCTTAATATAGTCTTTTTTCTTTAAAATAATGGCAAATATCTGTAAAATAACTCTGTTTTGAGCAGATTTCAGTACAATAAAACAGTGTAGTTTTACTGTCACACATTGCTTAACAATAAATTAAAATAATAAAAACAAATACAGGCTTTTGAAGAGGACATTATGTACAGTTTTGGTCTTTTTTCTGGTGATTTTCTGAGTTATTTTCCATACTTACACAAAACAGCAGAAATCTGCAAAATAACAGTGATAAAACTATTTATAATTTTTTTATTCCTTATTTTTTTTTTTTTTTTAAATAATGGAAAAATATCTGTAAAATAATGTTATTTTCTGCTTATTTAAATTCAATAAAATTGTGGATTTGTTTTTTTTTCATCACTTTTTTATTAAGCATTTTGAAACATCAATTTAATTATACAATTTAAAAAATAGATGAAAATTAATTTTAGTTGTTTTAATGTGGACATCATTTATGGCTAAAATGTAAAACAACTTTTTACATCACATCAGAGCAGCCTGAGGCTAAAGCTTGTGTACATTTCAAACACTGAGCTCTTGTTGACCAGCTTTGTTGATGTTTATACAATGTCAGCCATTGGCTGAAGTCTCTCACCATAGGCCACATTTCTAAATAAAAAAAGAAAAGAAGAAAGAATAAAAAGAAAGAGAAAATTGGAACCAGGAAGAGACAAAAAAAAAAAAAAAAGGTCTAGCTTCCTTTCAGATCATTTAAACTTCAACAAGCTGAAAGTTTCAGGTTCATAACAGCTGCAACACTTTGTTTTGTCTCCAGGTAAAGTCTGCCTCCAAGGATGGATTATGTTCAACAACAAGTGCTACTACGCCTCAGAAAAAGGAAAGACTAAGAACTGGGAGGACAGCAGAAGAGATTGTCTGCAGAGAGGAGTTGACCTGGTGATGCCGACTACTAAAGAAGAGCTGGCATTTGTCGCCAGAATTCATGACAGAACCTGGCTCGGTTTGTCTGACAGGAAGGAGGAGGGCAAGTGGCTCTGGGTGGATGGATCTAGGGTACGTACTGCGTTCTGGCAAACTGGGGAGCCAAATAATAGTGGAAATGAGGATTGTGTGGAGATCATTAATGGAAATGAGAAATGGAATGATGCACGTTGTAGTGATAATGTACCATGGATTTGTGAGGATTAGGATCCAGTGGGTCATATAAGAGTTTGTCTTTGAGCAGCACATACATTTACACATTATTCTACTGCTTCCTGAATGGCAACTACAACTATACAGTCGTGAACAAAAGTTTACATCCACTATTTAAATTGGCTTAGAGGAGTCAGCAGCTGCAGTTAATCGTAATGACTCAGGAGAAGTTAAGAGGCCATGAAACTAAGCAAATCTGATTAACAAAGCTTTATACTGATAATAAGGTTGCTGTATGTATAATTGTTTGACTCAGCAGAGTTCATCATATTTCCAAAACACCTATAATGAATCTGTGAGGGAAACGAAAAGCATAATTGCTTTTTGTGACAAAGATTCATATGTTTCAACTATTCCATCATAGAAAATTAGTTAT